GGTTGAAACGAATTTGCAGCGCTTAACCTTTACTACAATAGGTAGCTATTGCTATTCGACATGTTCTCCATGGAAATTGATAACTTCTATCAGACGATCTACAGACATCAATTAATTACTGACCTCTAGACATTCTTTCGAATTTAATTTCACACCTGCGCTGCTCTCTTTGTACAGATCTTCAGCTTCAACGTGGTCTTACTGAAGGAACCAACGGCTACATTTAAATTGGGGTAATAAATAAAATAGAATGAAAACTAAGCCGGGCAAATTGGCTCGTGATCCGACTTACAAAAACTCAATATATGAGCCACCACACCGTATCAATGGCGAACACACCCGCTTCGGATGATCCAACTGGCAAAAACTTCCTTAGGAATCTGCCGTTGGAAGTTAGTCGTAAGTCCGCTGGTTCTTACTTCCACGCCTGTGAAAACCAACGGAACGCGAAATTCGAATTCCCAGTCACAATCCTGTACTAAGCTTGTATACTTTACATTCCTGACCACATTCACGCTATTCACCAGTCGCAACCGGTAGACCTCTCTGAATGAGATGTTAACAGCGTCTCACTATACAGCCAGATTTATCATCCTGGCTGAGGAGGACTCGAGCACTCCTTTCTAGATGAAGTGAACACTGGCCAAGCGAAGATCATGGCAACAGAAAATTACTTACAAAAAAACCACGACGAATTTGATGACTAAGCCAAGAGCTTGCTCATTGCTGCGTAGTTGCGCTTGCTGGAGCTCAATCTTGACACCATATTTGTGCCCCTACTTTTAGAAGTATTAATGGTGAAACTGGACCGAAAGATCGACCCAAGACGGATAATTAATCGAGTTTGGAGAATAAGCGTTCCAAATCTGTTGGAACTACGCGTTTGATGACCGTGAGTTAAGACCGTGCATTGTTACTATTTCACGTGTGAGATTGTTAATATGACGAAAACGATCTGGGCCAAGATGAATTCCTCCATACCAGCGCGACACAACAACCTGAGAGGTTGTTCTCTGAGTTACGAAAATGAAATTCAAATTAACTCAGGGCAACGTACCAGAACATTAGTAGCATTCATTTTGTCCAATAGTTCTAGCATTTTAGAGCTCGCTCCAGTTTCTCCATCGTCGAAACAATCGTGCAATCTAGAAATCTTTGTAATCTAAACCTTATTACTTCACTCCGAAAGTTCATATTTCTGATAAAAAGAGTGAAAACAAATACAGACAACGTAAAAAAATAACAGAGATAACAAATAGAGATAAAGCTTAAGAATTCACAACAACACGAACTAAAGAGCTGCATCAAGAAAGATTCAAGAAGACAGATTTCCAAAAGAAATATTTGAGTGAGTATGTGTGTGATATGTGAGTAAAGGCTTAATGCAACCATGCCATACATAGATATGCGGAAGCTCCTTGGTCTCGTCCTTTCTGGGTTAAAATACTCTGCTGTCCGTTTTACGACTGAATTTTCTCAGTGCAAGGTTTTTCTTTCACTGATTTACTACAGTTTGAGGAATAGTGGGCCTGAATAAGCTGAACTAAGCTCACCCTCCCCCACCCCTATATCACGACAGTTTTTGAGGGGTTTGATGGCGGGGAAGTTGGTGTGATTCAAGTGATGATGTGTTCAAGAACACCATCTATCCTTGGAGAAGGAAAAAAGGGTTGCATAAGTCTCCTTACAGGCAGTCCCCCGATGTCAAAACTTCGTCTCAGTGTCTCGGTTGACCTTGCTTGCGATTCTCTTGTAAGCTTGAAGCTCGACTTAGATATATTTAATTAGATATGCATCAGTCCAATCGCGAATGACAAGATCGTACGATCAATACATATTTGTTCTCACTCAAGCTGCAGCTGCAACGGAGTCGCAAGGTATAACCTCGGCTCAAGTATGGAATCACTCAGACTAAACTTGAGAACTTTATATTGTTCTTTACCCATACCTGTGGCTAATGCGTGATTTCGAGCTGTTTAAAAAACTGAACTTAGCCTCTTGGCGAAATTGGTAACAGTACCGTATTTCACGTCCATTTCGGATCTCGGTGATGCGATAAGCATACATGTTGTGAGTTGCACGACTTATTTTCGGGTTTTCACTACAATCGATCAAGCACGAGCTTCACCTGAATTGAATGAAATGGAAATCCAAATAACTCTGCTCTCCCGCCGCAACGCTGCCTACTCGCAAAGCATAACGGCAGTCCCTCAGACAAGCTATCTAAAGCCGATGTCATAGTTTGCGAATCGAGCGATTCGCTAGCGAATCGCTAGATCCGAGCGTTGCGCCAGCGAATCGAACGTTGCACCAGCGAATCGAACTTTGCGCCAGCGAGTCGAACGATGTACCAGCGAGTCGAACTAGGTACCAGCGACTCAATAGTGGCGGGACCCAACGTTTAAAGGAAGCCCGCCACTTTCAAACAGTGTCCACTGCAAAGTCCCGCCACTTTCAAACAGCGTCCGTCACGTGACGTTCGTTCGCAAAGTTCGATTCGCTGGTGCAACGTTCGATTCGCTGGCGCAACGCTCGGATCCAGCGATTCGCTCGATTCGCAAACTATGACATCGGCCTCATGTGCACCTCTTAATGCTCAGGATGTCACGTGATACCATCGATGTTACTATGTCTGCAACTACGACCTACTCAGCCGCAGGAAACAGTTTGAGATATTGTTCAAGATAATTAGTTTTGTGGTGGTACTACTTGAACAAGTGCATACTTCTTCTTTACTATTAACTCTAGCGAGATGAGCTTGGAAATGGCTTTTGCGATCCGTGAATACATCGCCATGATAGATTGTTGGCACTTCATCAACACAAGTCATAACAGACGCCACACATCGTTCCGAGGCCTCTACGGGTCCAACTTCCACAGGTTCCTGGCCTTTTTTTGCCTAAAAGGCATACTTCACTACGCAATTTAGTGAAGCATTTTGGGTGAAATCTACGCTACCACAAGACAAAGCTCCTTCACAGGAGAAACAGAGAAAAAAGAATTCAAGGAAACTACGCACCTCAAGATACTCTTTTATCACCGTAATCCAAGCGTAGATGATGGGAGATCCCAAATTTTCTAGATAGGTGGCGTTCAAAGCGTCTTCTAATGCATAGCGATCCTCTCTAGACAAAGAAGGACCGCTCAACTCGTATAGTGGCGGCTCCCTAAAGAAGAAAATTAAGTTTGAAGAAATAGCAGGACCTTCCCTTATATGCACGGTGTGAAGTTGCGCCGGTATTTGGCATAAAGTTCGCGCAAAGTCCCGTTACTTCAACTTCTTCGCTGCTGGATTACGGTAAAGATCCCACACCGAGACATTTGTGGTCCTGGCAGTAACGTCGGAGAGCACAGACGACAGGAGGACGGTTCCAGATCCCACGGAGGAAGGTGAGAGCCAAAAGACTAGTTTTTTTGGGAGATACTCCGAGGTGGGCCAACTACAGTGTGGCAAAAGTTTGAATGTGTGAGATCGCAGTGGTCATGAGCCGCTGATAAGGCGAGAGCGCAGACGAAAGCGTCGAATTGAGGCGGCTTAAAGGACCGAGTTCGAGTAGTCCGTCGACCGTAATGTAGCATAAAACACGATCTACGTCGAGATGAGAACTCTTACCTAGGTTACACAAGCGCGAATGAAATGCCCAAAAAAATCAACCTTTGAAGTTCGCATTTCTGGGGAATGGGAAGAGGCAGTTATTAAGGAGTTGGAAAGTTTGGCGCAATGTGGCTCGGGGGGGGGGGCAGTCGCCGCGCGCGATCTCTGCTCGTCCGCGCCCTGTATTACTAAGTAAGCCTAGGAGTGGGCAGGAACTTTAGGAAGATGAAAACTATGATCCTGGAGTTCCTCCTCCCTGCCCGAGGCTTAAGCCCGATTTAAGATCGGATTTTCCACAGAAAGATCAGAAATCGCGCCGGGCGCCTGCCCGCCCAACCCGAACGCGAACCCGCCATTTTGCGCCGAAAGTTGTCTTTGAAAATGGCAAAACATTTCAAACCCCCATTCTGTGCCTACAATGCACGACCGTTTCGAATCACGGCGATCACAGCTTGGTATGATCCCTCGGACACTTGAGTAATATCCCCAACGGCCGAAGACCAAAGTTACACCAAATTGAGAGCCAGTCCCCGCCGACGCAGCAACACGCAGCGGGGGTCCTCCAACAGACGAACCACGAGTAACTACGTACCTCAGAAAGATCGATCCACTCTGCCGACGCAGAGAGGCTTCCGGCCCGCCGTGGCTTCAGATGAATCGTCGATATCGGGCACCATTCTCCCATCGCTATCCTCCCTTTATACCCTCTCTCACATCTACCAAGTCCCACAGATATGTGAAACAATACCGTTATGTATTTCCTACCTCTACACAAATTCAGATGGAAGCGTCTTTAATCTCTTATTTGACGAGCTAATTAGTGAATTGCACAACATTTTCCTATTTTAAGTCACTTAGTGCCCAGACAAAACGAATGAGTGAAAGCGAAAAGGCTTTGTAAACATAATGGACTCACTGTGATGAAATAGTTTCTTCAATTCACGGATAGCCTCACAACTCGTCCGAAACCTGATTGCACCTTGTCTGCAAACTCGAACGAAATCACAAATCCCAGCCAAATAGCGATTCTAAATATCAAGCTCCATCTCGCTGGCGCATGTTTTTGTTACTTTTTTCTAAATCTCCCATACTAGAGTAGACCTGAAATGTTCTATCATATCAAATGGTGAATTCCAGGTAAAATCCGATGACAAGGAACATCAATAGCTGCGTTTTGAAAGTCACAAAGAAAATGCAGTAATAACTTTCAACAACGATCAACACACTCACTGACTTTACTCGAAGTGAGCAAAGTTTGTATCCATCCACTGACATCGTAGAAAACCCAGAAATGTTTTAGGGCACCACTCTAGAATTTAGACGGAGAATTAAAGAGTATAGATCAGTACACAAATTGACTGAATATAATCATTGATTTCAATACGAAAGCACAAAACCGAAGAAAAGAGTTATTGACCAACCCCCAATTCACACATTTTCAACTACAAATCCCGTCACGGTGTAAATGAGTGCTCGGCATCCATCAATAGAACATTATTGACGTGCTTTCCAATAATCTTCAGTTACCGCACTAAACTCCTTCAATGCGCCTTGATTTAAATTTCTTCTATTCTGGCTAGGAGAAAACCAAGCAGCCGATATACATGTAATCGAACTCCTTGTGCTCAAGCCAACAATTTTGGCCCAAAAAAATGTGTTCATTTACATATGAAATTGTTGAGAGAATTGCATAAGCTAAACAACAATCTATAGTTAAGTCCATCATAGATACAGCCACTTTAACTTTCTAATATAAAGATTCGGTTTTAGTGGCCGCCGTTCCCACCGATCGCGACCCCCTGCACACCGAAGCCTGTGCCCTCTCGTACGAGACGTGCACGTTGGCCCTCCCGATTTGTCAAAACTTTGAAATCGCCTATCCTTATCGCAATCTGGACGCCCACGTACTACAAGTCCCCCCCCAAAGTTTCATCAGTCACCTGCGATGCTTCGATCGACACGTCCAGGTTCTGAATACTCATCATCATACAACATCTTTTAAACATGCACTTTTGCCTGCATGAAACCTAGACAGAACTGGAGGACTGTAAAGTGAGATTGCTGATATCATCTTTATTCTTGAAAAGTTGGAATGGCTCATCTTATTTGCGATGCCCTCAAAGAAAACCGGCTCCCAAGTACATGAAGAAACCGTTTCCCGAAACAGCTGTTTACGTAATTATCTTGTGCATGTTGCCGGAGATTAGGTAACAAAACGAATCAAGCACCACATGCACCTCCCCTCGTGGAAAGTTTAAAATCTAAACCTAGGTCTCTGCTTGTCAGGTTATTGAAGACATAGTTAATTTAGGTGCTAACTTAGCTTGAGGGGGGCCAAACAGTCGGCGGCGCGGCAGGGTCTGCTCTCGCCTGGCATGTTCGGAAATCCGTGGGCCAGGGGGAGTGTAGGCAGTCTAGGGGGGGGGGGCAGTCACTTGACATGCGTGAAAAGCTGGAATGTTCGAGTTTACACTGTCTCGCTCGAGAGAGCCCAGGTGAGCAGACTGCCGCGCCGCCGCGTGCCCCCCCCCCCAACTAAGTTAGCACCAAAATTGTTATATTCCCCCATAAAATCGAATGTGCGAGATCGTGTCTGTCCTTACTGGTCCTGATCCTTGCAATCGAGGCGTTCCGGGTGGGCGCAGAAACGAGCGAAGTACTCTCGTTTCATGCAGCCAGAAACCCACGTGGCGCACGTGGCTAAATTCTCAATGAAAAGGTGACATCACATGTGCTCTAAGATGTTCTTGAATCGATGCCACATTAATGCCACGTCAATTTCTGCAATTGCACAATTTCTGGGTCATTTGAATTAGAGGGTACCTACACCAAATCTCGAAGTCTGATTGGGCGTGTCACCGGAAATGACGTGGCAGCCACCGCACTTGATAGAAATTGCGCGGATAAGCTGCTTCCAGCATGCTTCGCTGATATCTGGCGGAGTATTTTATCCACGTGGCATCTAGCAAGTGCGATGGCTGCCACGTCATTTCCGGTGACACGCCCAATCAGAGTTCGAGATACCGACTGTATTCATGCACTTCGTGGATTTCCCCACCTTGCACAAATGAAAAAATGATACAGGCGCAAATATATCGCAGCGCATGCCATCTCCACCTGGAAACCTTTTGGATAAACTGAAATTTAAATCGTTCATCTTGGGGGCCGGGGATTCAGCTGATGCGCCATTTTTGGTGCCTTGGAACGAGGACCTCGGAAGAAGAATTATCGCAAGGACGAAGTCTATTCGTGCTTCTCCCTTCACCGCGTTTCTCCCTTCCTGGCCGTATGCTATCCTCCCCAAGAGTTGGGGAACGAAAATTTCCTTTAAATTTTCTCTGTCTTCCCAACTGGGATTGTCCTGATAAAGGGCCTACCCCCTTATTTAATGTATGTTTGTAGGTCAAAGTAAACATGCACTGAAAATGAAGAAGAAACTATGTTAAAACAAATAAATTTAGAAGGGATTTCCGTCCCCAACCTTCTTGGGGAGAATTGAGTCCGGCCCCTGGGCTTAGTCCTACTGTCAACAAATAAATTCAGAGGGATTTCCGTCCCCAACCTTCTTGGGGGAATTGAGTCCGGCCCCTGGGCTTAGTTCTATTGTCGGCCCTGTTTTGAATGTCCTTCTCCCCATGAGCGCAAAAAGCAACCATAAGACCTGGATCTGTCCATCATCCTGGAAACTCTTGCCCGTCCAAAACCTTAATCAACTGGCTTTTAAACTTTTTTTACAAGGTCCAGCAAAAAATGGCATTCAACACAAACGAAAATCAAGAAATGGCGTAGCAAGGCAGCAAACAGCACCAATTAGTGCAATTAGTGCTATGGCGTCCTTGTGCAAAATTGCGATTGGTGTACATCGCACTAACTATTGCACGCACCTTCATTTTTATTTGAGCTTTTTTTTTCTTGTGCGAGAAAGAGACTGGGAGGTATTCCTTTTCTCAAGGTGTATAATGGAATTCGTTGTGTTTTAAATGCGTTTCGCTCTGCAACAAGATGCCTCCAACCACATTTGAGCCAATTTTTCGCTAGTGTTGTATTTGTCCTTGAAGACCCTCGTTCTCTGCTTTACGCCAACAGTTTTAGATTTGGGTGTGTGTGAAGCCATTGGAACTTTTTGCAGAACTTGTTTCATTGGTTACTTTCTACGTTTCCAGGAACTGAAATGGCTGCTCCGGAAGTGGAAATACTGTGCACAGAGGAGGCACTGAAAGTTACTCCGAAAAAACCGCACAAGCACCGAAGGCGCCCAGCTAGGACTAGAACCAGTGGAGTACTGTCTGAAAGCGATGTACAAGATGTCAAGCCGAAAGATGGTTCTAATGCACAAAGCGATGCAATGAAGAACAATATTATCTCCAAAAAGAGGTTCCGCCCTGATCGTGGCACTCCAAATCCTGGATCTTCAACTAAGAAAGCTGGACCGGCTAATCAGGCTAGTTCTGGCACTCCTGGAAAGCCACTCAATTCGAAACCTGCCACTAACACCCAGATCGGGGCACCTCAGAGAGGTCAGCAGCAGCAGCAACAACAGCAGCAACAGCAGCAACAACAGCACAACAACAACAGCGAGCACCCGATACAAAGGGTAAATTTCTTTGTTCTTGCTGTAATGATCGTATGTGTTAAGTTACTACGAAAAATTGTGGTACGGCGTGAAGCTATTCCAAGATTCTTGGAGTTGCAGCAAAGGTTTTGAAGAGCCTCTGTCTGCTAGCGCTTCGGAATTATAGCTTTAACAGAGTCTTGAAGGCCAAAGATTAGTACGGTGTGCCCTAAAATTATTTTTTACTTCAGGAAGGTTATCTGCAGAAGAAAGATTTCTACAGTAGAATGGTGTACATGAAGTCCTGGAGTGGTTCTAAGTGTTTTGTAGTTCACGATGCCATCTAGAATTCCTCGGTCCAAAGAGTACTTCTCTAAGGTCCGAAACAGTGGGGACTGGAACTTATCTTTGACATCTCATTCAAACGTCTGTGTTTCTAACAAGTCATTTCCGACGACTGACGTAGTAACCCTTATAGGAAACGGAACCAGGAGCAAAATTCGGCATCGCGTCCTCAAACTAAGACGTTTTTCAAACAGTATATGAGCGACGATGAAATTTGTGCAGGTTTGGCAAATGGGACACTTTTGAAGGTATGTTTTGAACTTGAAATATCGTGTGTAGATGTGATTTCTTATGCAATTCAATTTCTAGGGCCAGATCCGAATAAATCAGAGGAAATTTGAGGAAGCATTTATCGACAATCCTAATGGTAGCGAGTTTCCAGATATCGCAGTTTTGGGCATGCCTGATCGAAACCGCGCTTTACAGGGTGATGTGGTGGCCATCCGCATAAAACCTCGCTGTAATTGGGTTGTGAGTTTGTCGTCAAATGTCATTTCTGGGTTTTTTATAACTGCATCCTTTTTTCTGATGGAATCTCAACGAACATTCTTTGAGGTGAATGAAGACTCCTACAAAAGTTGGAAAAAGGATTTTTGTAAGAAAGGCGCAGGGTCTCCTGTTGATGAGGTTTGTTTAAAATGGTTCTAGCAGAATACAACTGCACATCTGAATCTGAAAATATATACAAACAGTTTCAAACGTGCGCAGCCAAGTGAAGCTAAGTGAAACCTCTGTACTGCTGTGTACCACAGAGGGGAGGGGGTGGGTGGCAAAAAAAGACATTTTGCCCATGACGCACTTCGGCTTTTTTCTTCGCAGGGATTGCCGTCGTTGACGGAAGTTCCATAGCAAGGTATTCAATGTTGGATAGTTTCCAGATACATAGCTCCCACTATGCAAACCCCCTCGGAACTCGCTTTTCAGTAAAGGTCGTTATGGTACACGATCCTTCGAAGACCCCATTGAGCTCGACCAGTGCACCATGTTTCCGGGGCAAATTTTTCTGATGCCGTCCACGTAGGTGGCCACTATGAAGATTTTCTTATAGAATGAAATGCGCTCTTCAATACTAAGTTGGGAACATTCGGTTTGAATTGAGCAAAGTGTGATTAAATCCATCTGAAAGTGGAGACAAAATGTCTTTTTTATTGCCCCCCCCCCTGTATAGTAGGGATCTTTCATTCTTATCCGTTCGCTCTGTACCAAACGTCGGCTCCACGCAATGGGTCTACGGATGTTGTGAAGAATCATGATACTGAATTGTAGCAAGGCGGTGTGACCTACGTTACTCGAGTCAGAAGAAAATGTCATCTTTTCAATTTGGTTGTCATTTTATATCGAATAGGTAATTTCCGTCTTATTGTAGTGCGGAGAGGTTACTGGCGTCTTGGAAGTCATGGAGGAATTGATTGAAACGGCTTCGTCTCTGGATAGCGGTTTTGCGATACCAGAAAAGGTATGGGTTTGCAGTGAAAATTCGCTTCCTGTTTTGGGCAGTACGTTTCATAGCGCCAGACGAAATGAAGATAAAATAGTTATGAGGTGAAAAGACGTTCGTGTTTTCGATGTGGATCAGCGCTAAAGGGTTGTGCGTTGAACGTACTTACCTTGCCTATATTATTTGTATTTTTATGCAATCCGCGAGGGTGAACATGCTCTTGTGTAAGGATAACTAAGTGGCTATCACTATGCGGAACATTGTACTTATCAAGGCAACGTACTATAAACATCGAAAGCACACGATCTTTGCCAATAATGATCATGAAGTTTTCAATCTGATCGTCTGATGGCGAATAATTTTCATTGTAGTCGTTTTCCTGGTAGCGTGTTGTATACGATTAGCTTTAGGGAATACCTGCTCAATCCGAAATCTCTGAGAACTTGCAGAATGTGGCTGGAATAGATGTTTCGCTCAAGGATGAGTGCTGCATCGACGTCCAGGTAAATTATTGTTATTAGTGAGAACTTAGGAGGAATTTTTTTTCCAAATCTCGGTTTCCAGCAGCCAAAAGAAAACTAGATTGATCAAGGGCACTGTTGGAGATGTAGCCTTCGATATTTCCTGTTTTTTCGCTTCTTCTTAGAGATTTATTATTTATTTTGATCACTTGTAATTGTAGGTTTTCTTTGGCTCTCCCCACTTTCTGCACGATTTGGGGCGCGGCCGCGGCGAGCGCGGCCGCGCCCCAAATCGTGCAGAAAGTATGGGAGCCGTTTTCTTTTTGGCTCACTGGTCTAATCAGAACTCATATTTGTTTCATTGCAAGACGAAATGAAGAGAGAGTAAAAGGTCTGAGGTGGAAGGACGTGGTTGCTTCCGGTATGGAGACAATGCGTTAATGTTCTGCATGTTTCTCTCAGACATCGCCTAGATAGTTAGTCTTTGACAACTCACATGCGTGGTTATGCCATGGCGTAAGCAAAGCCAATGGAATGCCACCATTGCGGGACATTTCTCCACGTACGGCGATTCAGTTTGGTGTAAACATCGGAATCACACGATCTCCACTAGTTATGATCAAAAGTTTTCAATCTGATCGTCTGGCAACAAACGAAGCGTGGCTTCGTAGAATGATCTGCCGTTTGGTAACATCCCATTACAATTTTTTTCCTTTCTAGGTTGATGACGGAAGTGAGTCAGCCACAACTTTGGGCGAAGAGGAGTTTTGTCAGCCTCCAAATTTAGAGGAGGTGAACTTATACTTATCATTTGTTTCACAGATGTGTCTTTATTGCTGCATTTCAGGTCGTCGCTGCCGATGGTGGGTCTATTACTTTGGTCAGTGCAGAGAAACTCAAGATGAAACCAGCGAAAAAGAAGTCATACCGGATTTTGTCCGATCTGCCACTAGAGGAGTGGTGTTTACCTGATGACTGCCTGCAAAAAACTGCTGAAGTGAGTTAGGATACTTTAGTTAGGGTTCGATTCAACACCATATGACTGCTGTGTGGTTAAGGTTGTCGGTATCGTGGAACAAAAGAATTCTCGTCTGGCTATGGGTCGATTAGAACCAGCGCTAGGGTCTCAACGAAAATGGGCAAAGTTTTCACCCACAGATTCTAGATTACCGAGAATGATGATAGATGCTGCTCAGCTTCCGAAGGATTTCTTTGAAAGGCCGCAGGTAATCTTACTTGGGTACTTCTATGACGAAGTTTACAGTTCCCGAGGTGCATGCCTTTTTGTTTAGGACTTCAGCAAATTCTTATTCCTCGCAAAGATTGTGGAATGGGCTCAGAATTCAGTCATGGCTCGTGGTAACCTAGAGAAGGAGCTGGGACTGGCTGGTGATATTGATGTAAGTTTCATTGGAACACCTACGCAGTAGAAAACTGCGCGTGACTATCTGTGTTAATTCTGAGGGACCACTAGCGTGTGTCATTCAAGTCATAGGTGCAGTATTATCAGGCTTTTCATGTTTCTGTTAGACTTCTTCTGGGTTTTCAGGCAGAAACTGAAGGTTTGCTCATAACGAACAACGTGGATACGCGCGAATTTTCCGAAGCGGTCATCGAATGCCTTCCGTTAGTGCCTGAAGGCGGATGGAAAATAGATGAAGTTAGTTAATTTGCACTGCCTGCTCGTCCTCTGAACGCTGACTTCTGATCATTTTTAGGCAGAGCTCGCTAAACGCCGTGATTTACGAGATGAAATTATATTCACAATTGACCCGAAAACCGCGAGGGACCTCGACGACGCGCTTTCGATAAGCCCCTGTGAGGATGTCGACGGCTGTGGTACTCCTGGCTGGGAGGTTTGTAGTAGTTCTCGTAGGAATTTTCAGTTACTATTTGATTTTTGTTCCAGGTTGGTGTTCATATCGCTGATGTTACCTATTTTGTCTATGAAAATACGGAATTGGATGAGTGGGCATCTCAAAGAGCTACAAGTGTCTATTTGGTTCATCAGGTTGGGCTCTCTTATACAAATGAACAATATTTTGGTTATCTCTTCCATTCACAGGTGGTTCCTATGCTACCTCGACTTCTCTGTGAAGAGTTATGCAGTCTGAATGCGGGTGTAGATCGGTTGACGTTTTCTGTGACGTGGAAAATGGATGACAAGGCGAACATATACGAGGAATGGTTTGGAAGAACGGTCATACGGTCTCGAGTTAAGCTTACTTATGAGCATGCACAGGTATACTCTAATTTGGCTAACGTTGCTTCTGGATTTTGCCCTTCATACCTTCATTTCACAGGATTTCATCGAAAATCCAGAAAAGGAGTTCCTCGAAGTCGAAATGCCTGAAATATCCGATGGCGTTACAGTTCACCAACTAAAAGAAAAGGTTTGCCAAAACTGAAATTTGATGAAGAGCTTTTTTGCTTCACTTTCATTTTATAGGTGTTACAATTAAATGCTATTGCGAAATTGCTGCGACAGAAAAGAAGCGAAGGAGGCTCGCTACAACTTGATCAGCCGAAACTGAAATTTGCTTTGGATGACGACAACAAGTCGCCCATCGGTGTATCCATATACGAGGTTTGGAGCTTTTTTTGGAGTAGCATGTACGATTATTTCCATAGGATGATCGCTCTAAAAAATAGGTACAGCAGGAAATTAGGGATAGAATCATGAAGTTTTGGCTCCTTTAACTTGCTCTTAGTGAGATTCTCCTGGGATACATTGAGTATACATGTGTGATGTGTTGGTTGCGATTTCTACAAAGTATTTATGGATTTATTGTTGTTAGTAGTAAGTGAAGCAGCTTACCTTAGTGTTCTGGGTTTCTGCTGCGGTACTATTTAGTCTAGAACGGTTACACCAAGGAAGAATTTACCATCACGCATATTTTCGATCAAGAATTTGCCTACTTTTACCGGCACATTATGACTTGTAAAATATTCTCCAAGTATCGCAAAATTCCACTTGTCCAGCATGTTTTCCAATTAGCATGAGTTTCCCAATCCTGCATAATGTTTACATTTATATCGAATGTTTTTTATTGCAGGCTAAGGATTCTAACCGATTAGTGGAGGAGTTTATGTTGCTCGCGAATATGGCCGTTGCCAGGAAAATTGAAAGGCATTATAGGAAGACAGCACTGTTACGATGTCATCCTAAACCGAAGGCCAAAGTTCTTCGTGATGCGGTACGTATATTTTCATTTCGCTTCCTTTTATGTGAGACTACTACATTTTATTAATATCCAAATGCCAAGGTTGGAACAGCGAAATGATGATTGTAGTAAAAGGTCTGAGTGTCGGTCGACAGATCGGTAATCTCATGGCCTTTTTCGTGAAGAATTAGAAAAAAGTCGACGAGTTGTCCTTAGACTAGTAGCTTATCACTTGCTGACAAACTGAAGGTCTTGTTTGTTAGTTCTTGAGATTGGCGCACATCCGTTTTCACATGAGGACAATTGGTGAGATTACCGATCAGGCTCGCCTTCATGCAATGATCACGAGAATGATCTGATCGCTGAACAGTTCTGAAAAAGAATAGCTAACATTTTCACGCAGGAATTCGTCTTGACCACTTCATGTTCAGCCTTAAAATGTTGATTTCAGCTGAAACTGTGTAATACAATTGGATTTCCCATTGACGGGACTTCGTCAGGAGAGCTCAGTCGTGCATTGGCTCCATTTCGAAGTAACTCTCGGCTCTTGAGGTCGATTAACCAGGTATCTATGAAGTTCAATATCGAAATGTTTACATTTGTTTTATTACCAAGGTTTGTGTTTCAATGGATCTATCTACTTGTTCGTAAAGCACGGCGCAGGTCGGGTGTGGGGCTGTTTTTTGTTATATCAACCCAGTGTTCCTCATAACTTTTTTATCTCTTGTCTTTCCTGGATTTTTTAATGAGCTGTTGTTTTTGAGGTTCTATCAATGGTTCTCATGAAAGCTATGGAACTCGCTCGGTATTTCTGTACGGGTTCTGTTGCAAGTCAAACTCAGTATCATCACTACGCTTTGAACGTGCCTTTGTGAGTTCTTATTTCCGATGTCTATCATGCTTCTTAAATTTTGGTGTTATGCATTTTGCATTTGCAATATTAGATCTAATTCTTTCATTATTAGCTACACCCACTTCACCTCACCCATTCGTCGATATCCAGACATCATTGTTCATAGATTGTTGGCGGCATCACTGGGTTACTGTGAACCTTCCGAAAGGACTGTGGAAGAACTGGAGAAAATTGTAAGCGAGTTGTTTACATCTTCACTAGTTTCTTTACAATCATCACATTAGCTTGTCCTTTCATTCATGTGGAATCATTAGGAAGGTGGGAAATTGATACCAGGTATCGTGTTTAATGGCTTTTCCAAGGGGCCGTATTCAGTCGTTCCTCGGGGGTGCGTCTCCCTCTGATTCAATCCCCGGGGGAGACAAAAAAGTGTTGCGTCATAGGACTGCCATACCTCGTTGTGTGTTTCTATCCGCCAGACAGTTATAGATTGAAGGATTGATTACGGCCCCAGTCGCAGTAAGTCGAGGCGTCAGCGGAATTAATAGGTTGTAGGGAAAGTTCTCGCGGTTTTTGACACATATCATTACCTTAATTTTTTATCAACAAGAAAAACATATTAGGAAACAAAGTAATCACCATCACGTTCTATCACTCTTCGCCATTTTTCGGGCAGACTTTTGATGCCTTCGGCAAAGAACTTTTCTGGCTTCGATTCAAAAAAGTTGCTCAACCAGAGCTCAACGTGCTTCGAAAAACCGCGAGAACTTTCCCTACAACCTAATACTTTTTTCACTCCACCCTAATCTCCATTCTGAATGTCCTTAATTTTGTGTTGCCCTTAATTAGGCTCAACACTGCAACGACAAGAAGTTGATTGCGAAGAAGGTTGGAGAAAGCAGTGCTGAAACATTCTTCGCTGTTTTGGTGCAGGTGAGAATTAGGCTTTCCTTTTTACAGCGTTATTTTTTCACCGATACATCTTTTCCATGCACACTTTTCCACGTATGTTTATGTCAAAATAGGATAAGCAACCTGCGTTCTCCTTAAAAATGGCTGAATGATTAATTTTGTAGTGTCAGTCACGAATAGGAATCGGGAAAGTTGGGTTGCCTATTTGAGCAGGAACGGGCAGTGCGGACGATGCGGATAGCGCGCACAGTGCGAAATTCTTCAGTATAGAGCAGGGTCAAGCGAGGCGTCGAGGAAAATTCGGAAATACGACCCCCCCCTCCCTCTGCCGAAGGCCGAAGTCCATGAAACAACCCTCTTTAAAAGCCGAACTATGAAAAAGTTGTTTAATTCTCCACCAAAACTGCTCATAAAAAAGCCCTGCTACCCCATCGTCCACAAAAAAACTCGTTTAAAAAGTATAAAAGTGAAAAAGTCAAAGAATGATCATTAATGACGAGTCCTGTCAAACGAGCAAACGAGAAACGGAGCAAAAAACGTCAAACTAGTCACTAGAAATGGCGTACTATGACAACACCTCTTCTTTGTTTATTTCCTCCACAAGACTTACCAAATTCTAGTACTACACAGATTATGGTTCTCAATTTACACGTCCCCCTTTCGTCAAAGGAAGCCTTGTAAAAGCCTTCGCCAGCTGTGTGTTGACTGGACTTTGGCGTTGACCGTGGAGCAGCTTATTTACTATTGAAATTTGAACAAATATTCAAATGATTATAACTTTCTTCAAAGTTAACGAATTTTCAATCTGAAAGCTGATTTGGGAGTTTTGTGAAGAGCTTTTTCTAATCAGTACTGAAATTACAGGAAGTTATAAGAAATAACAAATTTAGATCAAATAACGAGGAAAATTCGAGACGAGCACGAGTTTTTACACTTTCCGGAGCAATAACTTGCTTCATTTCCGTCAAATTCAAAAAGTTGATACGTCATACAAAACTAGAAGATTTTCTCTATCAAACGGTCGCTAAAGCAGCTTCATACGTCCAGTACTCAAAAAATGGCCACGTTGAGGATTTTTGCAAAATTAACGAGGAAAATTCGTGATGAGTGCGAGTTTTTACGCTTTCCAAAGCCATAACTCCGTTCAAACTCATGCAATCTGGAAAGTTAATACGTCATCATAAACTAGAAGATTTGCTCTTTCTAGAGGCAACTAAACTGCTAATACGTTCACTATTTAAAAAATGGCCACGTTGAGGATTTTTGCCCGAGTACCGCCGAAAGGTACTTTTTCGCTACATTAGCACTATCCCAACGACTATAGCTCCTTGCAGGAGCGATTACATACTGAAGTAGGAGCAGATTCAAAATCCTCGTGCTTTTCTCTCTGCAAAAAGTGTAAAATTGTTTAGCGGGTCTCAACTTTAAGGTTACATGCTTGTGAATTTGACGCTGAAGGCTGCGTTTCTTGTTGAATAGTGTACTCCTCTCTGTAATTTAACATGAACTCTTTCAGAACCCTCTTGATTCTTCCTGAATTAAGATTCGTTATCAAGATAGCCGTAGCTGAAGCGCGCGCAACCAACTGGGCCCACTCTGGGATGCGCCGTGTGCTTCACATCTCGTTGGATTTGAGGACCTACTTGAAAGATAAAATATCCCTAGAAAACGTGCGAATTTCGGATCCTTTGACTTGTGTGGTGATGAAACACTAAAGTCACTAAGAATTGCTAAGCGGACACCTCTAAATCACGAAGATTTTGTGTGGACGGAATCAATTGTTATTGGAAATACTCTGGCCTGGTATCGATTCGATCCTTAATGTTTGTCCTCCGACGATGATCCTACTGTATCAATCGGGCCCGATCTCTCCCCAGCGGGCCAATACGACCCCCCCCTCTGTGACATGTCGAGGATTCCTCAACGCACGCTTGACCCTGGTATTAGAGCGCTGAAGAATGATTTGACGCGCAGTCAGAAGTGCCCTCTTCAAATAGGCGCTAGGATTTTATACTGATGCTCTTGCACTTCCCGCAGAGTCCGCTAGGCGTTTTAATATCTCACAAAGAAGGCAGTTCATTTTCTCGATTCATTTACTAGTGCTTTTCAGAGAATTGGACCTATGGAAGCAAAGGGTGTTGTCGTGAATGTACTCGACATGGCATTTGATGTCCTTCTGATCAAATACGGTGCAGTAAAGAGGGTGTACGTTAAGGTAGCTTTTTCTCTCAAATACGTATTTCATTTTTTTCGTTTTACGTGTTTGTGAGTCCTTTGCTGAGGAAATTGTTTCAGTCACTGGAGATGAGACGTGAGCCCTTATTTGAAGAGTCTTCCGCACGGCTTACACTGTACTGGTCGACGGATGACGGTTTGTCTACTACTATTGTTATACGTGGGATTCAATCTATCTCACTTGATTATCTGCTTTCAGGTCCGATGGAACAGCTGATTCAGATGTGCACGGTAGTTGACGTTATCTTAATAGGTGAACCGAATTCCACGAAGTTCGATGCAGTGATCAAACCGAAACCAAGCAGAGATTCTCCAACCCTCGTCGAGCTTTGGCGTGAATTGGAGAGTGCTGGCGCCAACGTTAATGATCTTGATTTGGGCTCAATTTTACTGGCAGACTAGTAGTGCTTTTTCACTTAATACTCTCCCAGGGAACAGGTATGCGTCAGAATGGAGAATGGATGAGGCATTCAGATCATGTTTCGTTTCCATTTTCTTCTCGTTGTATTTGAGACAGATGAATTGATCTCATTGAGTACTGAATGTTACACAATCTTTTTTGAGCTGGAATGTTGTAAATAGCTGTGATAGCTACCTTGAGCCAGTTACGTCCTCGTAGTTTCTCACTATTTTATTCTAGTCTCCTCGTCACTGTTTTCGCTTATTGATCATATTGATTTATTTGGTATTTAACGACTCCAAATTGGTTGTTGCATGTACAGTAAGCCGTTTGTTGAGGTGATTCGAATTGTGACTTGTGTGTGCAAATATGGGTTGTTTTTACCATTTTAGTTAAACATAATAACAGCATTAGGCGGACGTTTTGTTAAACATTGAATCAAGAGACAAGACGTAGGAAATTCAACTTACTTAGCTGTTTGAAAAAGCGCTGCGGGTGATAGCATCATCCTAGCCTTAGGCCGCAATCATAGTTCGCGGCTCGGGAGATTGGGATAGGCCGCGTTCATAGTTCGCGACTCCGGAGATTAGGATAGTACGCGACAATGAAAAACATATGTATTGACGGCGAGATTAGGATAGTAGTAGAGTAGGAGATTGCGCTGACAAGATTAGATACGTATCGATTGAAATCGCTGGAGTAGTACACTGGTGTGCAAAACTTAAGGACCAGATAGATAAATTGTCCTAACTTATTAACAATTAGATGGAATTGGATGAAACTGTACGGGCATAATGCTAGAAGCCCTACAGTCATGGGCACCGAAGTGGGCCTCATATGTCTTGCATCCGGCTTCAATCTGGAGCCTAAATGGGGTGGCCACCCAGAACGATGGGTATCGTGGGGCAGGACAAGAGGGGTGAACTAAGCAGGGAGAAGTGACTGTGGAATGTAGTGGTGTTCTTGATTACATCAAGTCTCAGAGACAACACTAGGGTGACTTTACGCGAGGAAGAATCATTGGGAAACTGAAAAAAGGAAGTTGTGTCCAGGAGTTTTGTGTCAACCACAGCATTGTTTTTTGTGCATGAGAAGCAATGTGGACCGCAGCCACTGCTGTCCCAAGAAGAGGAGGTTGTGGGTCACGAACAACCGCAGCAGCAGGTGATTGCTAGGTTTTGCTACAGGCAAAAATGGACCCACGTCAGTCACATGCTGCAGTTGCAAAAACATTTATCAGGATTGTAAGGCATGTAATCCCAGTCCGGACAGTGGCGCAGTGACCGCCTAGGAGTGATCTCTCTCATCGATCAACAATACCTGTATTCATTTGAAATCCACGCCTCGGCTGGGACATTTGGTACGAGCCGAGACATTGGAGATGGACCACCGAATTGAAAAATCGCGTATTCTTCCCGGTCAAGAGCAAACTGAATGTGAGTAGTGATTCTGGACTTACCTGCATATGGGGAAAATAGGAACGTGTAATCTACCCAGGACCATCGTTTAACATGATTGTTTTGGTAGTGCATGCGACATGATGTGGGGAGGCATAAAGTTGTCGGGGCGTACTGATCCCCAACTCATGATCGCGTTACACTTTCTGATCAACGTGATTGTGGTGTTGTACCCTTCTGTCATATGCATCTTTCCAAGGGTTCCCTTGCCCTCAGCTTCAATCGTGTGGAGGGCAGTGTGCGAGAGTATCGAGCAGCCTGGGTGGTGTGCGAGAGTATCGAGTAGCCTGGGTGGAAAACTCTTGGAAAGTGAGGATTTTCGGTAATTGGTGAAGCCATTTATTTCCTCCAGTCTGATTCTATGGAGCACGTGTGGCGTGGATTCAGATGAGCTATTGTAGACGGATGGACACATGTAGCTAACAAATAGGTTCCTTGCACACGTGTCCCCAGTCAGTCGCGCGTCCAAGGAATCGGTCACTTCTCCTCAAGAACTCTTAACTAATCTTACGGCCTGTATGGGAACACGTAGCAGAGCATACCTTGCAGTCCGTAGTGTTCATACACCCCATCAAGAACCAGCTCCTCTCTTTTGAGTGTCTACCATGAGTTGTTATGATCGAGTCATACCAGAGTGTGGTAGACAGCGCCAGCTCACTATCGAGCCCTGGCGTATCAGAACAGGGGTGGATATTACGAGAAAAATGTCTTTTCCAATCGCCCCTTTGCGCGCTTTTCTGTTAGTAACTCTCTGCACTGTACCGCAACATTTACTTCTATATATGTGCCAAATTTGGTCCACCTAGGTTAACTAGCAGTGAGATATCATGTGAAAGTTACTTCGGTCCTTAAGTTTTGCACACCAGTGTAGTTTGGGCGACTTCAAGGTATGATGAATACTAATTAAGGGTGAAACTCCAGTTCGGGGGGGCCACTCCATTTTTTCTCCAATACTCAAGATAAGGATTAGAGGGCTCACGACACGTAATCGACTCATTTAAAGTAGACTTCTGATAAATATTGGTGTAATGGGTGAGAAACCCTGAAACGTTTTCACATTTCCGCCTGCCATGACCCAAGGGAACGGTCCTGGACCAGGAGAAAGGACACCTCCGCAAAGGGCTAAGGGTGCAGGAGCTCCAGGGTGGATCACCTGTGCAGAAAAGTGGATGGGATGTGGGCAGGTAGTGTGGAATGTAGGACATCCACCGGTCCTTATCAAAAGTACGCTCGAAATGAGTCGTTCACTTATTATCTTATCCGTAGTGTTCGATAGCCCAAAGAACTGCTCTCTAGTACTACGGATAAGATAGCAATGGAGTGGCCCCCCCGAACTGGAGTTTCACCCTAAATCTTGCCGGCGCACTATATCCGAATCTACTCGTATCTAACTCCCCCATCTACTACACTCTGTTTCATGCAGCCAGAAAGCCACGTGGCACACGTGGCTAAATTCTCGATGAAAAGGTGACATCACGTGTGCTCAAAGATGTTCTTGAATCGATGCCACGTTAATGCCACGTCAATTTCTGCAATTGCACAATTTCTGGTCATTTGAAGGCGAGGGTACATTAATATCGCAATCTGCTACTTTCCAGCGATTTCAATCGATGCGTATCTAATCTTGTCAGCGCAATCTCCTACTCTACTACTATCCTAATCTGCCCATCAATACATAAGTTTTTCATTGTCGCGTACTATCCTAATCTCCGGAGTCGCGGACTATGAAAGCGGCCTTAGTCAACACTTATGATGGCCAACTCAACGCAGTCAGTATTTGGGATTGTTTGGGAAAATCACGAATTAACTTGAATAATTGCTGAAATCCTGAAGGTTGCTTAGCAATAATTGCTGAAGGTTGATTAGCATAACTGATTGACAGAGTATTGAAATAGCGAACTGGGCGATTCTTTATAGGCACTTGGTTTATGTTGTGTCGCCGCAGCCTGGAGAGCGTTTGTTCGCTTTGGTTCAATCGCAGACTCCTGACTGTATTCAACACTCACAGAACGTTCTGTAATTTATGGGAGATGAAAGCTCACGCCAAGCAAAAACTTGTTTGCACGACAGTTCGGGCCGAAAACCTTCTAACAGGACTATTGCGATGAGCCAAACCGAATCAAAGCAAGTACTGGACATCATTTGTTGTTCCGCAATTTACCCACACAACTTCGCCCCTACTTGGGTGAAAAACGGACTTTCGAAGGATATGAAAAAGGCTCTTTAATTGGATTAAGGCAAAGAATTCGGAACATCCTAAGGTAGGGTCAGGTGCTTTCGCGCGCTCATATCTTTTCCAAAAATTTCACGACCCCCCCCATCACCACCAGCAGCCTTGGAGGTCCCAAACAGGACTCCTTTACACCCCCGATCAGGTATTTGATTCTGACCGTCGACATGCTCCAACTCCACAAGACCAGTCGACAATCTCCACCACCCACCATTTTTCCCTCTAGAACAGTCAGAGCGACAGAGGGGGTAAATGTGTCCAAATTTCTCTATTTTACCCTCATTTCGTGAACTTTCACCAAAATTGTCAGAGAAACCGTCAAGTCCCCCGAAACCATGATTCCTTTAACTTTCGCTGGTACAGCACCTGTTCGTACTTTTCCAAGAGGTGGTTAACCCTGGTCAACCCTAAATAGAAGACCCCCCCCCCAAATGCAATCACGATTCCCCGTTCGAATAGTTCGAGAAGACGGTTGGCAAGAGAAGCACATCCCCATTCGAGCTTTCCCAAGATCCTAACAAGGGATACCAACCAAGCCACCACCCTTCCTAATGGGCACACGTCATGACTTGATAAGACACGTCTGCGCATGTTACTGGGTCATACACAACGGATCCTCACCATCCTGCGTCTCCGCGCGCGACATTGTCAGTCGCATGCGATGCCGTCGCGTCGCGGTCGCGATGAATCGATCGCGGTCCGTCGACGCCACGTCTCATTCGCTCCCCGGTTGTGCTGTGGTGTGGTTGCTCGTTCCATTCGTGAACTTTTGTGCCTTGTTGATCTTCGTACTCAAGGATTTCATTCAATGTTGATCGTATTGCAGGTTAATTGATATAGTGATAATGTCACGACGAGGTGATCTTGATGCTAAAGTATATATTGGTGGCCTGCCACACGATGCTACATCACAGGAGGTGAGCTTCCTCTTCTTGATGATTCATTCCAGGGCATGATAAGCGTGGAAAAGCTAACATTTCAAGTTTGTGTGCCATGCGGAACTGCACGCCATTTCCAAGAGTGGCGCCTAAATTCCTCAAGCTTACATCTCTACACCTAAAGGAATACCTAAAGAAAACAACACAAAGCTCCTGTCAACTAAGGGCTGAGAGTGCAGATGGAAAAGCACACACTTTTGTGCTATTAGGACCAGCCTTTTGAAGGTAAAAGGGGAAAAGGTGCTGTAATATTGTACACGTGTGAGAGCTCTCAGGTAGTACTGCAAAACGCTGCTTTGCCTGGCATCACGGTTTAGAGAAGTATTGAGACCAAGAAGAGGCTTTAGGGATCGGTAAATCTATTTTGCAAATCATACGGGTTGATCTACTCAGTAGTCGAGAAATTCAGCAACGCGAAGCGGCCGAACGGTTGCCAAACTAGCAATCCATAATAACGTTGTTTAGCGGACGTTTAAGAGTTTGGGAACTAATCCTATTAGTAATTGCTTGGGAACAGCGGCATGCGGGTTCGAGAAAGTGGAACACAATGCAGATATGGCGCAGGCGTTATGGTGAAAGGTAAAGTCCTTGAAAACGAGCTGCATCCCGCTTTCCTCGGGTGCAGATGGAGCCATTCTTGTCCACACTCACACATCCTTTGAAGAAAATACACCCCTAATTTTGGTTGGCCCTGGCTACGTAAGCGCCTTACAGCATGATCAGTACGATTTCACCAGGCAAGTTTGAAGGTGTCGGAACTTACGCGGTGGGCATTGAAATTAGGGGAGTTAGTGCTGAGCCGAATCAGGTTGAGGCTCAACTCTTCAGAAAGGAGAAAAACGTGTTCTCTCTTTATGTGTGTGCTTTTCGAGCAGGAATCTTCCGCAAGCCTTGTGTATAGCGAGAAGTATGCTTTGTGTAAGTGTATAGCGAGCTTTGTGTATGTCAAGAATAGCGACAGTAGGTGCGTGCACAGCAACTGTGATAGAACAGGTTGTCATGGTAACCGCTAATGGAATATGAGAGCATTCATTATAAACATAACTGAATTAGACGGCTTTGTGCAGTAGCGAGTAAACAGTATTTTCAAGAATATCAGCTTCTCACAGAATATTTGTTTTTGGTAAGAGTTTGTTAGTTTTTCAGATAGAAGATACGTTCCACCGCTTTGGTCGTATTCGTAAAGTATGGGTTGCTCGTCGTCCTCCTGGTTTTGCATTTGTCGAATTCGAGGATACTAGAGACGCGGAAGATGCAGTGAAGTCACTTGATGGAGCGTGAGTATTACATTAAGTGTGCAACTCAGAGATGAATCTGTTAGGAATCTAATTTTTCAGGCGTATTTGTGGAGTACGCGCTCGTGTTGAGCTTTCTCATGGTAAACGTCGTAATGGTGCTAGTGGTGGTGGAGGTGGCGGCGGCGGCCGTGGTTATGGTGGTGGCCGCGATGGCGGTTATGGTGGTCGCAGATCAAGGTGAGATTGGAATTGAACGTTGGTGTGAATCGGAGGCGTGACAGGGAGTATTAAGCTGGAGAGGGGTAGTTGGGAGAAATGTGAGATGAATTATAAAGTGATGAACCAACAAAACCTTTCGTTTAGGGTATGTGGTCAAATATAGTATGGTGGCAATTGCTCAGCACTATTAATTCTGGCTTTGCTCTTGCGTAATAAAATAAAAGCCCAATAAATCGATGATAATAATGAATGCGATAAAATTTTGTTAGGACTCGATGTGACCCAGGTGATAGGTGTATTGAAAGGTGGTGAGATATTTGAGCGCCTTTTTAAAACGATGTTTTATGGAGGCGTAGTAGTGGTATAAGTAGATTACTTATTTATGAACTTTAAAACGAGGTAGATGGCTTTTGTCCACTACATTAAAATAATAGTAAATTTGAATGTTTTAGCGTTTCTGACCTACCGGTCTACCGCCATCTACCATCAGTCTTCCCTTCTCTCTCTTTCATCGTAACATAATCATCGCATCATCACACCATCACCACACACACCCTCATCCGCGTACCCTGTCGTAACGTCGCTTTCTACTGTAACTGCGTCGCATCACATCCGAACACGAAATCGACTGTCTCATAGCGAAGAGTACAGAAGTATACTGTCTACCTTGCATCAAAGTCATCACAGAGAACTTCAGTCCAAAATTTCATCGGGACAGGTTTGTTTGGGTGCGAAAAGTTACCTGAATATTATGACTGCGTAGATTAACTAACTGACCATAATTGTTTTCTAAGCCTAGTTACCAAGAGGATTAGTATCGCTCTGGTTGTTCTGAAGCCGCATTTAACAATGTGATTTTGCCTTCAGGTCGCGCTCTCGCAGTCGCTCACCCCCACGTCGTGGAGCATCGCGATCGCGTTCTCCAGATGACAGAAGGAGCATCAGCCGGTTGGTTTGGATCGGCAAAGATTTAACATTTGGTGCCTAATTGCGTGCGCTTTTCAGAAGCCGCAGTCGCTCACCATAAGAAGTTGGGATTCAAGATGATCCATTGGAGCGATCTCTTATCTGATTTTTCTACTTTGTCTCATTTTCGTGTACTATAAGGTGGTTTTCGTTACTGTGTATCGTTGATTGTGTGTAAACACTACGCTATAATCTAATAAACAATTAAGTGATATATATTCCAAGTTGTTCGTGTTTACAAATTACAAGGTGTAATAAACACTAAAGCATGAAGAAGTTGGACCGAACACAATCGATGAGGCTGAATTGAGGGAGGGCAGTTTGAATGTTTCACAGGGATTAAAGGCCATTTCGACCAATACTCCTGGTCTTCTACCATTCACTGCTTGGTAGAAAGCGGGGATGGTGCCGAAAATTTTATACGAGTTCTTTGTGGTAGACACACACGGCTTCACAACTAGGGTTAACCGTGGCGTTCGCACTTTTTCAAAAAAATTGCAACCCCTCAGGAGGGTGACGATGCGACCCCCACCACCACCATGAGACTCAGGAGGCTCCCCAATACGACCACCCTTCTCCCTACCCCGACCACCACCCTCGCCATCATGGCTGTTTCTATAGTATTTGATTCTGAGACCAGTCGACACAGCCCAACTCCGCCCACTTTCCCTCCAAAACGATCGGCCGTCGAGCGGGGAAAGGGGGGGGGTATCACGTGAGGTTATTATCTGTTTACATTCATCAAATTCCTCGAAAAACCCATTTAAATCGCCGTTCTCAACAAATTACTAGTCCCACTCAACCCCTGAGTGCGACCCCCAAAACCACACAAATGCGACCCCTCGTTCGAATAGTGCGAACACACGGCTGACTCTGCTCACAACTACGTCGAACTTTCAAATTGCCTCGACAGGACAATCAAGTGAAACTCCACCAACGATTACAGGATTGATGTTTAGTTGCAACGGAAATCAGCAGCTGTAGTGTGCAGAGCGCATACCAGAGACGAGTTGTTGGAAAGCTGCCACCCTGTGCAGGGGTCGGGGCGCAAAAGTGCGATCACCCATGCCGCACATCAGCGATTTCATTTGTCGCACAAATTGCCGCTACTGTCGGAAGTTCTATAGCGAAGAACTCATGAAATGTCTTTCCGTAAGTAGAAGCAAGCTATCCTTCACTGCCACCACCGTCGTCAAAATATGCCATCAACGTCGAGCTCGAGCACACTTACCGTGATTGCTCCGGCCCTGAACCTGCTGCACGATTTCTTCGATTAGGGATGTATCTGAGAGTCGTCAGTAGTCAGTA